GCCATCATAAATAGCATTGTTTTCTCGATTTCTTTTGCAGTTAGGTCATTATTTGTGTATAAAAATGCTACTAAGTTTTGTATGTTGGTTTTGTATCTTTCAACTTTACTGAATTCATTTCTTCTAACAGTTTTTTGGTGAAATTTAAGGGTTTATTTTACATATAACCCAGCTTTAATTTCAGTAGAAATATTTGATTTATAATAGTGGACAGAATAATGAGTCTGTACCACAATTACTGTGAACCACTACACACACACACGGTATTTAAAAAAGTGCATGGAAAGATTCATGTCATCTTTCAAATTCTGTTTTTCCATGAACATTCTGAAGTGGCTCCATGTGTATGTGTGCATATATGTATATATGTATGCATGTATAAATAAGTGGACATACATGTCCATAAATATATAAAGTAAAGATCTTCAGCAACAATACTCATCATTGCTATTTGCAACATACTACTATGGCACTTTCTATATATTAAACATGATCCAATAATAGATTGTGATTAGCAATTAGAGAAACCCTATCCTAAGTAATAAATTTCTCCCAAATAGCATCTACATGTTTTCTGACTACGGTTTAATGAATAATTTTGACAACTCAGCTGAGATTTGTTTGCTGCCAACTTTAATAGCATTTTTAATAGAGGAAAAGCAGTAATTGTTTTTTACTTCTTGTTTTCTGACTACGGTTTAATGAATAATTTTGACAACTCAGCTGAGATTTGTTTGCTGCCACCTTTAATAGCATTTTTAATAGAGGAAAAGCAGTAATTGTTTTTTACTTCTTTTTTGCTGTGCCTTTAATCATGAAATCTTAGTTAAAACATTAAAGAAGGAGAGACATAAAAAGTTGTAGAAAACAAATGATAAGTTCTTATTTATTGAAAGACATCCAGTTGAGAAATAGAGAAATAATTGTTAGGTAAGCTTATATGGCACATGATTATGATTAAGTTCCACTAATTCATATTTCTGAATTATGCTTTCTCTCTTAATTCCAGAGTATTATATTCATGCAGCAGTGATAGGAAGGACTAATTTTTTTTTTTTTTTTTTAAATGTCCATCTTCTTGGTAGAGTAGTGTAACATCAGAAACATTCACCTGGAGTCATTTTCTACCATTGGGGTGTGTGATACTCTAATGTTAAGAAATCAAGTCTAAGTCTAGGAAATTTAGACTGTTTATTTGTGATGTATGAAACTTGCATATATGAATCCAGTAGTTTTACCTAGCTTTCACCTATCTTTGTCTTGAAATTTTCCATCTTAATGGCTTGTCCCATGCACAAAATCCTGAGCCACAGGATACCAGGTAAGGATAAACATGGTAGTAGCATAGTTTGCTTCTGCACACTATTCAGGAGTCCACAGATATATGTGAAGGTTCTTTTTTCTCTCCTGTAGCAACATTAAATATTTCATCAGATATTTTAGCTATAGTAGGTGTAGTCTGGGGAGTCACAGTGTGTCCAAAACCTTGGTAGTGACCCATGGGTGAAGGTGGCATCGAAGAGGCAACGGATATTGCATCTTGTGATGATGATGATAACAAGCTTGTATGTTCATTTTGATCTTGATCCTCAGGAAACAATTTTTTCCTAGGATGTCCCCTGACTGTCCGTCCTTTAATGTAATATAAAGGTTTTCTATGTTAGCCAAAAGTTCTTTTTACCATTATATAAACTTACCATTCCAAAAATAAGCTCCCCATGTCCCGCTCCTGTGCACCTCCCTGCCCCCATTTGAAGAACCTGTACTATGGTACTGCTTTAAACAATCTTATTGGGCTGGCTTGTTAGCTCACTTGGGAGAGCGTGGTGCTGAGAACACTGAGGTCAAGGGTTCAGACCCCCATACTGGCCAGCCACCCAGAAAAATAATCAATCTTTTCATCTCTTAAATAGCCACTAAATTGCCTGAGTAGAAGAGATACAATAACCTACCTATCTGGATGAATTTAAATGGCTAGTACTTACCAACATGCCTTACTTGTTCAGAAATATCATCTCTAATATCTGAAACATCCCACATGGCAAGAAAGGAATCAAAGCATGACCCCTCTTCTGCTTCTTGGACATATGGTTTATATGAGAAAGTGTAATGATGAGCAATAGCAGCAAGGAACATCTCAATACAAATAATAAAGTCCTGTAACAACAAGAAGAAAATCTGTAAATTTAGTTTTGTAGAATGCTATCTTTTTCCAAGTACTTTTCAAAAATACTTAAGTATCAATAACTTTTTTGCTTTTCAGATTATATTCATTTTTCCATTTTCCATGTTCCTAAATAATTATTTTGCCCGCTCTCTTCAAAAAAAAGACAAAATGTGAAAATTTAAGTCTATTTTATATTACCTCAATTAAATATTTCTTAGCAAAGTACAATGTGTTCTCAATCCACTACCTAAGGACTAAGAGGAGAACTGCAGAAAAAGAAATGGACTAGGAATAACAAAATCCAGGTTTTATTCCTGGTTCTGCTACAATTTGGCCAATTTCTTTAGAGTTCCCCTGTTTCTTCACCTGTAAAGTGAGGATAATAGCGCCTCACCCATCCTGCATGTTGTCATATATTTAGTACAGACAATATGTAAAAAATGCTTAAGAAACAGTAAAGTTCTATTGAATTCGAAGACAGCACTACTTACCTGGAGCCCTGTAGCCACAGCTTCTACACTCTGCCATTCCCACGTACGCTTTTCAGAAA